TCAAATTCCATCAACAATGCACCTTCATAAGTAAGATCACTCACATAAGGACCCTTGTAAACCACTTTCCTGGACTCATGTAAAATTTCATCTCTTGCCCATGGACTTGAAATGTTCCCAACATAAACAAAACAGCTAGTACCAACTGCAACACCATTTACAACACCCCTAGTTCCCAATCCTACGTCCATGAACTTTATGCGCCATGGGAAACAGCCACGGATATATTCTCTTGTCCTTATGGCATCAATAATGTTTCGGTATTCAACTAAAGCAAATCCTTTGACAGGAAAAAATGAAAATTTTTCTAAAGGAGCAAATCTCTCAAGCTGAAACCTTATATGAGCTTCAGTTACATCAGGGCCTAAAGATCCCAACCAAAGCTGTCTAGAAGCTGAGAAAACACCCACGGCAGCAGGATCCCCATCAAAGTACCAAGTAAATTGAGGAGATGTAGAATTCTGTGGCGCTGCAAAATGATGATTAGGTGATGGCAAAGCACTGCTTATACTTGAACTAGAGGATCTAAAGGCAGAAGGGCTATAATCCACATTTGAAACTTGACCCCTGTCAGCATTAGGAAAATGGGTTCTACCCTCAAATTGATTACTCCTTAAGTCCGATGGAGTTCCTATGACTGGTGAATGCATCTGGTGGTTCAGCAGGTCCCTGGGAACAGAAGACCTGCCAGATGATGAACCTCCAGGGTCTCGCCTCTCAAAGTCTGCGGACTTGGAAACTCCACTATCATGAAAAGAAGTAGCACTCAAGTGAATATCAGTTTCAATGGGAAGTACTGAGCTGTCAGGTTTTGAGTGTTGACCTGATAAATTGTTGGCACCACTATCATCACAGGATTTCTCTCTTCCAGACTGATCACTAGAGGATTCATGTTGATTAGAAATTTTAGGCATCAAATACTGCTGATTGACACATCTTGATGGGTTCAGATCATCCTCATCAGTATGTGCTTGGCTGTCTTCTACGTTAATCACTTTACCCAATGATTCAAAGATTCCTTCAAGGGCATGTATAATCTCCGACAAAATTTTGGAAGAGGTTAGCTTACACAGTTTCTTGTATTGGGAGGACATCCAACTTCTTAGTGATGAATTTTTTTCCAAAACCTACATGAAAATATGAGACAAAATGAATGAGGAATGCAGAAACAGATAAGCAAATTTCTTAAACTGTAATTTTGAAGACTATCCCGTATTTAAAAGTTAATAAGAATAAGAAACAGCTCAAATGAATGTTAGCCATCAGAATAAGAAACAGCTCCAATGCCAAAATTATTTGAAAGGTAGGGCAATTATTAAGTAGTACCAGTCCCAACAAGCAACTCTTCAAATTGGAAGAAGAGTCAGGCATTTCACTTGTATTATCCAAAAGACAAGATACATCACCATTGTAAAGCTTGCTTGAGACCTGTCTTAGAAAAAACAGTCCTTCATTGGCTCCTTCAGATGAAGATGAGCTGGCAAGCTCAAAACAAGCTGCAAGTAAATTTTTAGGACAACGAAAGAAAATCCAGACAAGACATAACACACGAAATTTTGATAACTTTATTAATGTAGATACGTCTTCTTCTGAAAATTTTTCCTTTAACTCAGGAAGGATCTTATCAGAATCCTCCATCTTCAAAATATCCTTATCAACAATCTGAAGCAAACCCTTCCCTTCGAAGGATGATACAAAAAAAGAGAGAACATTCTGAAAAACAGCTGTACAGATGCCCCGGATGACAGATGATGTCTGTGCCACTGAAGAAGTAGTTTGACAAATATCAGCTAGACCAAAAACACAAGCTTTGGCTGTCTGAAATGCAACAAAATCAGCATCCTCTCCCTTACTTATCACTGTCAAGCTCTGGTTATGCATACTGGTAAGTACTTTAGCTGCAGCTTCAAGAGCAGTTGGGCAGTATGAGACGTATCGAGGAATGAAATCAGCTACAATACGCTGTACACTTGAACAACCTGCAAAGTTGGCAACATGTAACATTAAGAAGCCCCTCTGAAGTCATATCTAAAATCTCTAGTTTCTCATGTACTTTTGAGAAAATGGAAGCTTCACCAACTAAATTTTGTATCATTTTATACACCCATGAATAGTAGTGCAACACAACATGATGAGAGACAAAGCTAGGCTGGGCGGTGTCAAAAGCTCAAAATTTAGCAAGACTATATCTAAAAGCCACATACAAGAAAGAAACTCAATCTTAGAGAAAATGCGTTAATTAACACTTCTAGAAACCATAAATAAAACTATCACCCGAAACCAACACAAAATCCACTTGCTAAAAATCTTCACCTATTCCCTGAAAATGTGCCAGAAAGTACTGAAATTTGAATTAATTCCATACTTCAGAGCACATTTTTAAAAAAAATGCTATTCCATGTTGTCAAAAAATAACACATCTTCGTAAATTGAAAGCACAAACTTGCAAATTCTCAGAAACCAGATAGAACCCTCCACTCAATTAAAATTTGAAACCACACATATTCTCTAAATTTACTTCCATGTCAGTTGATTTCAACCAAAAAAAAGGCAGGGAGGTCACAATTAACGCAAACAGAGGTGGAAGAGTGGTAAAAACGTACCCCCAGATGCAGAAATGAGAGCGAGATAAGCTTGCTCAAGCTCAGGTACGTGACGAGCATCTTTCTCTTTGAGGGCGATACAAGACTTAAGTCGCTTGTAAGTGTCGTACACGCTCCGAATCTCGTCTCTGTTTCTCCTTCTAATGAGAATTTCCTCTTGCGACAGCGGAGCTGAGGGTGGTGGGGTCGATGGTGGAGCAACTGAGCTCTCAGACTGCTCTAGGGTTTCTAGAGGCTGCGACGGCGGGTCTGGCGGTGGCGGCTCATATATTTTCCGCTTCTTCAGTGGCTGCTCTGCGGAGGACATGGCCATTTCCACCGAGGAAGAGACAGAAAGGCACGGGGGAGAAAGGGGTTATTCTCGTTTGGGGGTTTCCGACCAGAGGGAAGAGGTTTTAGTTTAGACGATGAAATTAGAAAAACTGAGGTTAGCCTCACAACTATGTTGTTTGCTCCATTTAAACCCTTTTACTAACTTCCTTTGCAAATAAACTCTTTAAAGTTAGTTAATTTAGTGTTG